TCAACAGAGAAGTGCTTACAGAGAATCAGACTTACTCTGCTCACCTCTCTAGCTTCAACAGCACAAAGTCTGCTTCGACTATCAAGGCACCCCGGGAAATTGCGGGTCACAAGAGTGTGATAAAAATACAAAAGAAGTAGAGGAAAATGACGATAGTAATGATTAGGAAAGAAAAAGCAGCAGTTCCCTGTTGTAGTTCAGGCACAGTTATGAGCCTGACCTTGTTGGATCAGCCCATTTACAATTCTACTGCGCATTAGAACGAGAACTGTCCCTCCTTTGGAAATGGCCTAAAGACACTTCAGTCAGTGGCACCACTCAATCCTACTCAAAGAATGTACTTTATCAAGTATGTCTCTCCATTTGGTTTGACTCTGATTTCTGCTCGAAGAAACTATTTTATAGAGTATCTCTGTCCATATGATTTGAGTTTGATTCCTACTTGGAGAAGCTATTTCATCAAGAAGTGTCTATGCCCATTTGCTGGGCTGCTGAATCCCACTAACAGGGTTTGTCCCTGGTAGGCAGAAAGGGGCCAATGTATCCCAACCTTTGTAGCTTAACCCTATCCATACGTGTTTTACTATCGTATCCATACAATGTAGGGAACTCTGTGCCACCAATTTCCAAAGGGGAAATTTACCCGTTGATTCGATCCGTACACTTTGCATAGCAGTCTGTCAAAATGATTTTTTTGAGTAATATTGAAAGTTTCAAAGAGATCTATGCACTAGAAGTATTCTAAAAAAATTTTAAAATTCGATAAAGATTGCCAAACCTGTTGAAAAAATGCCTTTCTTTGATTTCATTATTGTGACGAACGCCTGATTTCAACATAATTCCTCATGTAATTTTGCTTGAATCTTCTTAATATCCTTTTTCAGTCACAGCGTTGCACCACACTCATCTGATGGGACAATGACGACGCCCTCCATCTATGTAGGCGAGATTGACATGCCCGGCTCTACGGAGCCACAAGACAGCTACTTGGATCCTCGGCCGTGGGGAAAGGTATTTTAACCCTTCCAGCCCCACCAATTTTTGTGCACGCCCTAACCCCAGTCCCAGCAGTATTTCAGAAAAAGAGACGTGCATTCTAAAAAGTGATGTAGTATCTTTGTAATGAGGTTTAAACAATAGCATATCACAATGTTTGAAAGGCAAATGAACAATTATTATGAAAATTAAAGTTTAATTGTTCGCAACCCCCCCTCCCTCCCTGAAAGAGAGAATATACGCCCTTGGGACGGTGGACGGTACAAGTGCTGCTGAAAATATTTGCGTTTGGGGCTGGAAGGGTTAAGTGTATGGGTTTATGAAACGGCCCTTTCAATACTGCAAGGAAGTTATTTGAGGGGCAGGACTTCCAATTAAACATCCTTCTCCAGCAGTAAGAAGTAAAGTGGATGGAGAGCCTTTTAGTCTAGTTTAGTCTTAGTACGGTAAGTGTTTTACAACACTTACAACACAATTAGGTCATGTAAGTTCCAAAGATTAGAGAAGTTGCTAGAGAAAAACTTAACAAAAAAAAAGGAGATATCATGACGATAGATGTTTGATAGGAAAGAAGGTACATACCACACCAGAGCATCCACCAACCATCCACAGCTGAGAGCCTTGAATCATCATCATCATTGACTTTTTCACCCTGGATCAGGATATAGGCCATGAACAAACACTTTCCACCTTCTCCTATTCTGGGCTAGTTGCTTGATGTCACTCCATGTCTTCCCACTTTTCTGTAGATCCATATCCGTGACTCTTCTCCAGGTTCCATGTGGTCTTCACCTTGATCTTTTACCCAGTGGATTCCAATTTAACACTTTCCTTGTTGCAGCTGCTTGACTGTGTGTCCAATCTATAGCCAAAGCCTTCTTCCCACCTCATCTCTGAGACGTGGATTCTGTCTCGTTCTTCTTAATACTTCTTCGTTGGTGATCCTGTCTGTCCATCTGATCCTCAGTAGCTTCCTCAGACACGAGAGCCTTGAATACTTTCCTCACCATATATAATTTAAGAACACCCAATGGAGATTTGGATTAATGTCATTCTCACCATAGCCAAACACAGTGTCAACTCCTTATCTCCGGCAAGCCACTCCCAGCTGCTGTGTGGTGAGCCCGTGGCAGCAATTTAGGCACGTACGTTCCTTTATTACGACTCCGACGTCAAACTTGTTTTCAGCAATAGCTGAAATCAGGTCTTTTTTTTCCGGCAATTATTTTATTAGATGAAGAACCGTGTAAATATGTTTATTTGTTTTTATGTAATAACCAATTTAGTGGCATGTGCGTCACTTTTAGATTTCGTACCAATGGTGAGCCCCCCCTCGGAAAAAAGAGTTATGCTAACCATGCCTTGTGGGACACTTAATAGATGACACCAATTCTTCCTAAGGCTGTGTTCCCCAGATTTTTGCATTCCCCCAAACTTTTTCATACATTTAACCTTTAAATCAAGTAGTAGTATAGTCTATATAAACTACCAAACTCCCCATATAGTCAAAGTAAGTTTACTTTTATATTTTATAACAGTAAAATCTGGCTCTGATAAATAGGACACATATGGGACTGACTGATGTGTTGACATATCCTTAATTTGGGTTAACCGACACAGATGACCAAAGATTAAAGAGGTTTAGCTGAGGAATGAAAAATTGTACAATCTATCGGCGCGGTGATTTTTGAGTTGTCCATGTTCATGTCATCTGTGCCCAACTGTATGTGTTTACTAGTACTGTGTCCTATTCTTTTTCAATATGCCTTTTAAATAGAATATGTGTGGCATGCTGACAAAATGAATTACTTCTTGCAATCCACAAATGGAGATATTGGCAAAAAATCAACACCAAGGTCAAATTAGTAGATCTTCTATTGATGCTCTATTTTTATGTATAACATGCTTCTTATTATTTCATACTTATAAATTGTAAAACTTCCTTTTTAAGCATGATGTTTCTATTTCCATATCCGAGAAGTAATTAATTCATTTTGTCAGCACACTTCACTTATATTTTCTTTGTTTTTTCACTTTTGAATAGGTTTTTTATTTTTTATTATGTAATTGTTTTATTTAACACCTGTATTAACACAGTGTAAATCATTATGGAAGCGGACTTTATCAACCTCACCTGTCAGGGCCAACCCAGCTCGAGGGAAGTACAATGTTCCAGCAGAGGGACCAAGATACCCAATAAAAATTGGGACTTCTACATGTAATGGCAAAGTGCCTAGCCGCTTCACCGCAGACGACAATTTAAAATGTTTTTGATCATCAAAGTGATGCTGTCAAAATACAAAAAAACCAGTTAATTTGCTGAAACTCACTTCCATCGAAAGTGTTTATTAACAATAACTTTTTTTTTTTTTCATTTGAAAGGGCCAGGCCATCATAAACAACTTCAACCTTGGACGTTACTGGCCAAAACGTGGACCTCAAGTGACCTTGTACGTTCCGAAACCCGTTTTTGTCAACCCTCCAGCTGTGAACAGACTCTACCTGTTTGAAGTTGATTCAGCACCGTGTTTTGACAGTACTGGGGATGACGGCTGCAATGTCACCTTCACAGACACTGCCTATATAGATGGCCCAAACACTCCGGACACTGTTTCTTCTAAATTTGAGAGTTATAAGTTGACTCATCATTAATGCTTTGTCCGGCAATGTACTTTTTGGGGGCAGTTCTTCCATTTTTTTAAAACATGGTGAAGCAAGCAGGTTGAACGTTCCATTGATCTGTGAATGCTAAATTCATTTGCCTTTTACACATATGCTCGGAAATCGTTTGCAAGGAGAAGCATGCCGTACTTAAGCAAGAGATTAGAATTTTACCTGGACCAAAGTAATCATCTTGTTAGGAATTTGCGTACCATAATCTCTACTCATAATCAGATATGAATTCCTTTTTGTGTTTTGTTTTAGTTGTTTTTTTAAACCCCATTGCCTTTACTACCTCTGGTGGTGCTTTTCTATGAGCTACTACAGATTTATTGAGGTCTCATGTGATATTGCCAGTTTCATATCTCTGACGATTTAGAGGTCTTTGATCCGTATAATTGATTATTTCTGAAGACCTCTGTCAGGGTCTGTAGAATCATCAATATACTACAAATGTGTCTGATAGTGATAATTTCCAGTATTATTCTTTGTGCTCAATAAGCAGAGTCAGTGTAATTTTCTCATGTGCTGTGTTTTTTGTATTGATGACCGGTGCCTTTCAATGACAATGAGACGTGAAGTTGACTGCAGTACAGTCAGCATTGGCTCAGATAGCCACCCATTGTCAAGGAGAAAAGTGACTGTCTTAGACAGGTTGGTGTCTTACAAGGTGTCTTTGTAATATAAAAAATGCACAAAGGGGGGAGTGGGAAACGTCTGTTTGTACAGGTGATTGTCTTATACAGGTGGCCACGAGACCAGGTTTGAGTGGACTTCTTTTGTTTCGTGTTAACGTGAAAGTCTAGATAACCAAACTAGTCATTTATTATCAACCACAAGGGGCTTTCTGAAATCTGTTATGAGGCTTGCAGAAATATGTCAGAGTTCTTTGTTTGCATCAAAACTTATGTGCTGAATAAGTAAGGAATATTTTGAAGCTTTTGAGTTGATTGACATTCTTAGTTTTCATTCTGAAATTAATTTCGTATTGTAATGATCTCTAGAAAAGTGTTTATGGAATAGAACTATTAAACCCTCGGTGTGGACAAATAGGAAGGAAATATATAAAATTTTATTAAGTCTTAGGGTTTAAAAAAAACTAAAGTTCAAGATTGTATTATGCAACTTTTATGTTGGTCTATTGTGACAGTAAATAAAACATACGTGAGTGAAGCGTGCTGACAAAAAGAGTTACTTCTCGGATTCAGGCCTTAAGGAAATAGATACATCGCACTTATAGGTGAAGTTTTTACAATTTATAGGTATGAAATAAAAGGGGTGTTATACTTAAAGAATATGGCATCAATAGAAAATTTACAAATTTGACCCTATAGTGTCAATTTTTAGTCAATATCTCCATTTGTGACTGTGAGAAGTAACTCATTTTGTCAGCACGCCTCACTTATCAGTAAGTGTCACAAGCTTTGTCATGTGGGTCAAAACAACTAGGATTTTTGTTGTTGTTGTTTTTGTTTGTTTTTTTGGTGTTTATATATATTTGTGTGTGTGTGCGTGTGTGTGTGTGTGAGTGAGAGAAATAGAGAGACTAATGGCATGATCTTGTCAAGGCTTTTTTTAAACACTGTTAAATATGAACCAACAAAGACAGAAAAGTTATAAAATGAAAGAGTCATTGAATGCAAAGTTTTACTTTGTCTTGTCAGTTGAGTTTAAAAAATGATAATCTCCAAAGCATGAGACTTTTTTTTTTCTTGCACTAAACCAAGAATGTGATATACTAACTGCTTTGGCGTGTCTCCACCATGAAATGTAGTACGACGGGGTGGAATAAGGCTCTCGTCAATTTTAGGGCATTTGGGGTTATTGATGTCATCTTAGAGCCTGCTCATTTGCTTTTCTTTTGATGAAAAAAAATATCAATCTTTGTTTAATAGAAGTAAAGATATTTGCGATTGAAATTGAAGGAGATGAGGGTCGCCTGGTTTAAGAGGTAAAATAAGTGACCGCCAAAGTTTGGTAATTCCCATTGCTTGAGAGTCCTTGGAAACTGAAAATTTACAGTTTTTGTACCTTTAATCAATGTTTTTCAGTAAAATCCACGGAGAAATGTGTTTTTAAATGGACCATCAAGGTGTTAAGTCAGAAAACAAAAATTCGACCAAAACCGCAAAACCGTGGGAAAAATGCAGATGTCTTGTATTTCATTATTTTGACGAGCGCCTGATTTCACCATGATGCCTCACGCCTCACAAATGGTCTGTTCCAGCCAACCAGCATCTGTGGTGAGGCCATTAGGCCCGTCACCACCACATGCAGGAGACCCGAGTTCAATTCCCGTATGGTGGTGAATTTTTTTAATCTAGTATCTCGGTGTTTCTGCTGGGATGCCATATCCCTCTCTGTCCGCCGGGCTAGCTATGAAGGTAGGATGAAAGTGTGGAAACCCGCCTCCTACATGATCTAAACTGTGTTGATAGGGGCATAAAAATAACCACTTACTTTTGATAATGTTCCAGCCATTTATAATCTGCTGACTACTACTTATACTTATACATCTGATTTTTAAACCTTGTTTTGTACTCTTTGTTTTTTGTGCTTTGCTGTGAATTCCAGCGGAGGCTTCCAGGCCAAAGAAATTTGTGTTTTTGATTTTTATGTCTTGATCTTTTTAATGGACATAGTAATACTCATGGAGACATATGTATTTGTATATGATACATGTATATTAATGTTTTGGTGTGTTATAGTACTTGTGTGTGGGATTAAAATAAGCTTTCACAATTTTTGTCTTTTGGTTATAAAATCATATAATGATCTTGATAGATTATGTATACGATTACAATTTTGATTGTGGTGACTGACTTATCAGCATTCCCTGACTGCATTTTGCTGATGTGTTGCATTTCCACATTGTTGAAAATTGTACTTATGAAATAAATTGGATTTGTATTTCTTGTGTGGTTTTGTTTGGGTTTTTTTAATGTCTGTGACTGGTTTGAAGATGAAATGAATGTGTTCTGTTTGGTGCAAGTGTATGGTCTTCCATTTGTTATAAAAACACCCTGTTTATTTTTCAAAAGGTGTACCGTACTTTCCTTTTTCTTAAGCCAAGAGAGTAACATACAAAAAAAAGGAGGAGAGATAAAGACGATAGGAAAGATAAGGAGCAAACCACACCAGAGCACCGGCCAACCACCCACTATGGTAGTTTGAAAAGCCTTGTGGCTGAGGTTCTTCCAAATGACACGACTATTGCCAATAGTTTCTTTTTATATTTTCCCGATGTATGTTAGTGCACATCAGGTGGGAGGTTGGAGGGAGCCACTGGTAGGTTTTTACTTTCCCTCACTTATTTCTGCCTATCTGTCTAACCTTTTTTCCAGCACTAAATGACCATTA